AAGCAACTGAAATATGGGATCTTAATTATCAATAAAATTATGTGTGGGTACTACTTGTAAAAACAGACCGTACAGATTTTAATTATTTAATTCGTATTAACTATTCAAAAAAGATTGTATCTGTCTTAAAAGATAATCTAGTAAGTCGAAAGGCATTTTCTTAGAAACCAAAAAGGGTATCTACATTTAATTACTGAGCACTAAATTAAAAATGTTCGTTACATCTACATAAAAAAGTAAGGCCTAACCTAATATATACTTAATACCCAAAAGAACATTAAAAAGACCACTAATCTACTCTAGCGCATAGATTTACGAGTAAGTCTAATTTAAACAACGAAATATACCTTATTATTCGAATACATTAAAATAAGCACAGGGCTTAAACATTTTTCTCAGAATTAGTTACATCTACCAGTTTTTGTTCAGAACCTACCGATTCCGTCTCCTAAGAAACCAAATCGACAAGGTCCTTGTAGTATCCTCGATTATTCCTATAGACTGAATTCCTACATCTCCTTCAATATTAAACAACGTCATCTAACAGGGTGGCAAATTGCTCCCTTTTTATTTCTTTGTTCGTCGAACGGAATGTATAACATGCCAAATGTTTGAGCTAATAAAAACGAAATTCCATTTAATTATGAACGATTTGAAAATCTGTGAACAATGCGAGCGAGCCTTTGTGTTTGCCAACCGGTTTTTGTTATGATGAACTTAATTTGATAATTTCTTATTGAAATCTCGACTGGTTTGTGCTCCATAATCATTTATTTTGATTTAACTTTCTGTGACTTTGTCCGTTTTAGTAGTGTTAAAGTTATTTGTTTCTTTTGAAGGAAAGTCAAGTCGTAGGGTTTACTTGATGGAAGGTGAAATACGTCCTAAAATGGGTCGTCGTACATCTTCACAAGAAGCGCTGTCGACTCATTTTTTGCTTTAACTTTACAATTTTTCATCTGTGGGCAGTGCTTCGTGATGAAATTTGGATTTTAATGCCAGATTTTCTAGACAAGGAAAACAGACTACCAATAATTTTGTTCTTGGGAACTGAATATTTATTCTATACTCAGTAGATGTTAACCTATTATGATAAAATTTAGACTATTCCTGTTAGTCAAAATTTATCACGCACGAACTTACTAACATTAAGAATGTATTTGTACGTATTCAATTTAAATATTGAAGTGTATATTATTAATCTAGTAAATATATGTTGTGTGATATTATAGACAGAGAGTGTTATATATATATAGCTATTCAACATAACGTGGTTATTTTTAACAGTTACAGAATGGCAGTAGAATTAGAGCTTAATTATTTTACTGTGAGATTCTTATTATAATTTGTTTATAAATTTTATCTCAATTAAGAAACTACTGCGGCCAATTTATAAAATAAATATGCAGATAGCAATAATGCCTTTTAATAATATCATGCAATGTCAGCCTGCGGTTACAATTAACTAAATAGTCGTGATAAGTGGAAGTTATTATATTAAATTGTAATTCCTAGATTAAATTACAATTTGCGAGCGGGTATTCCCCGGATGTCGTGTTTTTTATCATACTTCTGAGTAATGATTAATGACAGATGACAGATTGTCATTAGGTATAACGTGTTCTATTATGTAGGATTACTTGCAATCGGATTTAAGTTAAATCTTCAGGGCTAGTTGAGTTTAATGTGCTAACTTTTAAGACTTGTTTTTGGAGAAGATGCTTTCAGTTTGTTTATCTTACAAGTTTTGTTGTAAGTAGTTTAAGCGAGTGATAAACATTAAATAAACTCCCCCCCACTATGTAAAGCATCCAAACGTCGGGACGTTATTAAAGATTAATTTATTTTCGTTTCAAACACGTCAAAGTGTTTTATAAAATATCTAACAATAAATTAAAACTCTATTTAAATAAAATGAAATATGACTCGAGTGGGATTTAAACCTGCACTCACAGAGTTGGTTGGTAGGTTGAAAAAAAATCGACGAAGACGTTAGCTTAATTGGTTAAAGCAGTGGTACAGAACGCTGTGGATGTCCATTAAAGTCCCGCCCGTGCCGTAGTAGACTTTTCATTTATTGTTAATTATAAATCACTTTAAACGGTTTAATCGCGAAATAAAAAAGTACGTTTTTTGTAACGTAAAAAATATTCAAATACGAGTTTTCAAACATCTAACAATTACACCTCCTAACCCTTTTGTCTTTGTGACGTATTCGCAATTAATACGACGCGTCGGCCGTCGTGGTCCGGCGTCACAAAAGTAGATATTTGAAGATTTATTTCCCTCCATCGCTAAAAGGTTTGGGAGAGTCACCGCACGATAAGTAGTTAAGTATAATTAGTCGCCACGCGACCACCGGTCGTGCTTTGGCATTTTAGACATGGTGCTTTTCGTTTGTGGCACAATGGGTAGTATGGAATTAGGAAATAGTGTTTAAATAAAACACTTTAACGGTTTAAAACACGATATATTAGTTATAACTTATTTGAAATTCATTTTTAACTTCGGCCCCACGTTTCGGATGTTTTGCAGCAGCCGTGGCCACGTGGTCTCCCCTTGACAAATGTGTACTATTCGCGTAAACTATAGACAGGAAATTGTGTCTTAATGCAGACAATATAGAATTCGGTAAAGAAATGCTTAATTATTCGTTGGAAATTTAATATAGATTAAGCTTATATTGATTTTGTCGGGCTCTTTGGTCTAATAGTAGAAATGTATGGCTAATAGTTGACGGGTCGTGGCTTCAATACCCAGCGGGTCCGACGTGTTTCTAATTTTTTAATTCATAATTTTTCTGAAACAACTACGTCTGGAAATGGATATTAAATGTTGGAATATCGAAAATTCCGCCGGGTCAAAGACGAAAAAAACCGTGAAGTTTAATCGCGTTTCAGTCTGTGTATTTCCGAATATATCTAGCCAAAATAGGTTCGCAGCAGCAGTCTTTCACCTCCCACAATTGAACCCGATGCTTATTTATTTATTTTTTATCTGCCGTCCTCTATCATTAGAAAAACCCTATGGAATCGTAATAGACTATAGTAAGTTGTTTAATTTGGATTTGAATGCAATTATTATTAGTAAAAAAATGGCTTCAATCCAACAATCTTCCCGCCAAAAATATAAGTTATACCGTGCGGTAGTTTGACGTCTGTATTCTTGTGGTGCGTAGACTATAATCATACTGTTTGAAAAAGCAAATGTGGTCCCGATATAATGACATTACAATTAGCTATCGCCAAAAGAGAACGATGCGTGCCGCGGCGACTCTGCGTGTACGGCGGGACTGTCATTCTTAAGGCTGCGGTCTAATATAAACGGCGAAGATCGCGTATAGCTTCCGTTGTTTACAAGCTTACTCTTACGTACAATCTTTTTAATTCCTTAACAATTACCTGTACAACTACGATATACCTAGAATTTATCAGCATCATTGTATTGAAATCGCTACATAAACAGCACCAATGTAGTGGTAAATATAAACTGTCCCCTTCATCCGGTAGTTAAACTGAGTAAGACAAAATATAGGTAGTTATGTACCTAACTAACTGTAGCTACCTGAATAAATAATTTTTGATTTTTCATTTGTAACAGGTTTTGAAATTTTAAATAAAACACTTTAACGGTTTAAAACGCGATATATTAGTTAAACTTATTTGAAAATGATTTTTAACTTCGGCCCGACGTTTCGGATGCTTTGCAGCAGCCGTGGTCACGGGGAGACTAATGTATGTCTTGAAAAATTTTCAGGTCTTACAGAAATTAAAAACAACGAAGTAACTGAGTACTTATGCAAAATAATAATATTGTGGGTACGGTACTAGACCTACACAGTAATTATAACTATACAGAAGCCGTGACGGCGGCGTTGCCGCTGAACGTTAAAGGAGACCACAGCCTAAGAGATAGATAGTCCTGCCTTCGCCACTGCCGCGCCTTTATCTTCGGCGCCTTCGACAAATTACGTCGGCTCCAAAAAGTCAACGAGCTTATCAGAAAACGTTAGAGCGTGTGTTAGTTGCTTGTTCGTCGTTTCTTTTAATTTCGTTCCTATAGTTTTTGTGACGTCCTCATTTTGGGGTTATCTGGCCCGGTATGGCTGCGTGCCTCTGTCACATATTTTTGTCTGTTACCCTTTTTGTGACCTGTTGTGACTCTTCGTGTATGTTTGATAATTATTATGGGCTCGCTTGCGTTCTGTTTGATAGCGTAATTGAAGTAATTTGTTACTTCTAACTTATAAAATTAGGATTTTTGTACACGGGGCGTTTTATTATTAAATGGAAAAGGATTTTGATCTTTTAGGGTATTTTAATATTGTATTGTAAAGATTCTAATATATTATTGAATTAATTTAAAAACAATTAGGTATAAATAATACGAAAAACTTAACTCCTTTTTTAAGTAACAAATTTGCTCTTATGTACTACATTCTTTATGTTTTCGTATGAAAATTATACTAAATTTTCTTAAACATTTTTCTGCATTTAAAAGGCACGTTTTTTTATATAAATTAATAGCTTTAAGTTGAGTTTACTAAGATACTTCTAGTGTTAATGGTCAAAAACAAACTAGCTAATATAGAAAATACTTCATTTCTCTATGCTGGCTGCATTACTATTGTATCCTTACGAATAATACAATAAAAGTAAAAATAATTGAATAAATATCAGTTAGACAGTTTCAATCACCACTCTATCCTGTTTCTATTGCCTTTTGGATTTTAATTAATGATTGGGTACATTTTTATTAAGGCGGCCTATTCAAGAAAACGATTGAGACATAAATGTTGCGGCTAGCTGCAATAAATTCCAGACAGGTGCAGTGTACACCAACGTGGTTCCTATTGCGTTAAGGTTGCACCTAAGTGCAGATCTAAATCTAGATATGTTTTTATCATTATTATACGTTTTAATATATCGTTCTACACATTAATTATTTACTAATATAGGAAAAATCAAGTTAACTCACCTCGTTATTTCGCGTCGCGTGTAATGGAATCTTTGGTTCATAAACTTTTAGCACCCAATGTTAGATTCGAGAGATATAAAGCATTTAATGAATTAAAACGTCGATTAATTAGACGGGAGAGGCGAGCGGCGAGGCTGCGCGATCCTAACTGGTTTGAAGAAGCAACTGCCGCGTGCTTCATCCATAATTCAAATAAAACATGGGACCCAGACTCCGCCCCTGTGCCACACCGGCCAATAGCTCTACATCGGACTTACTTTGAAACTCCGCCTGCTATAAATTCAATTCCCCTCTGTATCAGAGCGAATTAGCCCTATTCAATAATATCGTTAAATAAATATGTGCTGACATTGCTTTGCCCAGTTAGTCGCTCGAATCAAAGGTTTGTTCGTACATTATTTGCGAATGTCAATTGTGTAAGTCGATAAACGGTTCTTTAACTTCTCAATTTTGTCATTGTAAGTGTTAAACATAACATAATTTAAAATATTATAAATTATTGAATATTAAAGTGTTTTATTTAAATGTGTACTACTCGGTAAACTAGACAGTATTAATAACAATTAGGTGTTTAAACTATTAATCATCAATGATAATTAAGTTAACCGGTTGGAATTGATTAGTCTATTCTCAGTAACCTCTAAAGATCGCAAAACAAACCGGAAATTCCATAGGCGTCAGTGGATTATCTGAGCCAATATTTCGTAAAAGCGAAATGACGTTTAGATAAGGATTGTTGGACCGATCCGGGTTCAATGTCGACACAGTCACGAGCCCGACCACTTTACTTGTTAAGTACCTACTGACATTAATAATTTATTTTTGACCAATTTTAGGTACTTGATTGACAACCACTTATGTCCACCTCAAAACATTTCATAAGGTATGACTTAAATTATTAATGTAATACCTCCTATGTCTGTACCTGTGCTGATTTGTGGAAATTCTGAGAAGTAAAAATTTACGAAACTAAGTAGCCACAGCTACCACACTAGAATTAATATTGAAAATGCGTTTTAAATCCCAAAAAACTGTCCATTTAGCATTATTAAATTGTACAAATCCCTAAAGAGAAGTAGCTAATACAAATTACTTTCACAAGAAATGCATTACACTTAAGGTGTTAACAATAGAAATCCAGTAGGCAATTACTCCTCCGTTGAATTCTTTTGTGGACACTTTTTCATTTCGAATGAATGCACTTTTTGCTCGTGGCATTGTTTGTTGGCACAATTTGTCAGTTTGTTGTCCTTTTGAGGTCTGACCGCTAGACGGAGCAAAAAATTATGCCTTTCGGAAGTTACTAATAAGAAGGCGCCTTCAGTAGTTTTTAGTTTGTCGGCAACATGAATATAACTTATTCGCAAATTTTGAAACGGATCAATTTGAGACTTTATTTTTATAACGTTAAGGTTGATTTAAGGGTAGCGGTAAACATTTTTTATAACACGTGTCGGCTTCAACAGATTTAACTTTTTACGCTAATGATACGCGCTCAAATCAACACGTAGTGTGGTCCGGAAGTTGCCTCTGTCATTGAGATGAAGTTTTCATCTCGTATTATGTATTATTTGAAGATCGATACAGAAAACAATAAAGCCTTTTGACTGAATCCAAAGAATATTAGGTAATGTTGGTACATTTAAAAATTTTCGTTGGTATACATAACTAAGGTTTTATTTCGAAGTTTGAACCTTACTATGATCAAATTGAGGGTCTACAATCTTACACGTTTAAAAATAATATGACTTTTAAATTTATATTACTTAAGTTATGTTTGTTACTGGTTAATATTAGTTAATTATAGAAATCGATGTAAATAATGGGATAACTAGTAATCTGTTACCTAAATACTATAAGCTGTATATTCATAAAACGTTGATGTTTTTATTACGTGAAACGACAGTCGTTAACTGCATTGTAACACGAAATTAGTTCGAAACAATTACACCGATAAACATCTTACTCGGACTTTTTATGTTATATGTCGTTAAAAATGATTAATTTCATCAATTTCCGTTTGGTTACATTAGCGGTTATTTGTTATTTTCAAATTGAGGTGTCTCATAGTTTTCTGGTGAATAACTTCTTTGGTTTAGTACATGTATTAAGCTTTAATTCAAAACGTGTTAATTGTCTCTTGAATAATCGATCGATGTAGAGGACTTCAAATTTATGAAAAAAAAAATCCGCTCCAGTCAAATTAGCCTTCAAAAAAAAAAATAAACTATATATCTTATACATATACATTTTAATTAATAAACACAATTTTCTAACCATCTTGCGATCGTTTCACTAAACAAACTTCACGCAATCAAATCGATTCGCTTCGTTCGCATCCCGGGGCCATCATCGCCAATAATAGGAAATCACTTTTAACTATCATCCCACATTGTTAACGAATCGGGTATGAAATTATCGTCTGCGATCCATTGTTCCCTTCTCGATCCCAGAAAATTTGGCGATTAGGTGGAAATTTGTTAACTCATAAATTCGTTATCCCCGAATCAGTTATGCTTTGTTTCTGCTGAACATCTTTGTCCAGAGAATTGCCGTGCTCGATTCGATCTCTGTAACGGTAAAACGCTTCGGTGATTTGCTGAAAATTTAACGATTATAGAGAATCGATTTCATAATTATTCGATGCGACGTTGAGCTCCGACTCATTCCGTTTTTGTAGAAATAATTAACTTGATTTTCGTTTGTTTCATTAATGCAGTCTATTCGATTGGAAATTGAAAACGAGGTTCCGATTTTAGTTTGTTGACCGATGATCGATGCAAAGTGGCTAAAAAAAACAAGATGGTGTACGATGAGAATGGTAGTTCATTGACGGAGTGTAATGAAGCGCAGCGATCAGAAATGGGATTGACACGAGCCAAGGTTTGCTGCTTTGTTTACGGTCGGAAATGATTTCGGTAACAGTAATATTTGTTTGACTATTTTACATATCTCATGAAAACCTTGTTGAAAGGAAATAACTTAATTAATTTAATTTTATACTTGACTAAGTATAATATTAAATTAAGCCGTGACCACGGCTGTTGCAAAGCATCCGAAACGTCGGGCCGAAGTTTAAACACATTTTCAAATAAGTTTAACTAATATATCGCGTTTTAAACCGTTAAAGTGTTTTATTTAAATGGATGAATTTTCTTTAAAAAAGGCTTTTACGCTTATTATAATATAACCTGTATACCTCGTTCTGGTGTATTCACCTACATACAGTACAATTGAAATAGTACTTGCTGTACCATTGTTAGTAAATAAGCAGTAACTCTTTCTAATGATTTAATTTATATAGTATTTATTCTGTTTTTTATTAGTAATAACTATTGATATAGTTCTAACAATAGTGATTATTAGTGATATTGGAAGAACTAAAGCTCATTTGAGGTTTCCGTGATCCCTGTGGACAGATCTTTTTGTACACACGCCGGATGTGGTTAAAGATGAATCAGAGCAGTCTGAATGGACCATTAAAGATCGATATAACAATAATTGCTTGAACGAAAACGTCACACGAGTATATTGAATTTGCATAAGGCAGGCTACATTACAAGATTGTGGAAATTACGATGGAAACTTCGCAAAAATCTAATTTTCCTTAAGAAGGAAAATATATAGTTTTATGTATAAAACATAAAAAGACAGAATTTGTTACGTCACACCAGATGGATCCCGGCGTGTCATTAAGTTGGTGTTAAATGTGTTGTGGATGGTAAAGTCACTTAATTAGCGCACAGGACAGAAAGCATGGACGTTTGGCGGCGTCCATGCCTGATATTATTTTTGTACGTCACATTTTCATTGCTGCTGCTGCAGCTGCAGCTGTATATCATTTCAAACTATTATGTGCAATATGTATTAGTTATAAAGCCATCAGCGACTAGATTTTATTAATCGGTAAATACGGATCATCATCATCAGATCGGAGTATTTTAAAACATATGCAATGGTGACCATTTTTTATGGTTTGTCACTCTTATTCCGATTGTAGTTCGATACGACTTACATTGCTGTGTCAAATATTGTCTAAGTCATTGTGAGAACGAACCATTTTAAATAATATTAATTTATTCGATCGCATTAATTAGAAAAACTTAGTCCATTAGTTTGTTTAGTCGTGACTGTGGTAAGATATAGGTAAGAACTAAATTAAATATGACGTTACTAACTGTCTTTGGTTTACGCGAGTAGTACCTACAAATAAAAAAAACTTTTAACTGTCTAAAACGCGAAATATAGATAAAATTTTTTTCAATACGAACTCACGTGAACACGGCTGTTGGAAAGGATCCGAAACGTCGGGCCGTTAACAAATGTATTTCCCGTTTTAAATCGTTAAAAGTGCTGTATTTAAAGATGACGTTAATCACATATCATTCATGTTGTCTAATCATTAAACGGGTGGTTTTGTTTATATCATCGTGTTTTCGTGAAGCAAATCGTTCAGTCAGCGCCGCGTAACTACTGAATGACGTGATTCCCTCGAGTGCGTGTTCAAACTTTACGCGATTGTGTAATACTTCTTTATTAGTGTTATGTTGTCATTTATACTTTGGGACTTTTATGGGCCGTTCCACTTTTACTTTACAAAGTTTATTTAGAGCTTTAAATGTATATGTACCATTGAATATAGGTGTTTCTTTACAACTCTTAATAGTCACTAAGTTAAAAACAGATGTAGAATTTGAGGTTTGTTCAACTGATTCAAAATCGATGACTTTTGCAACAAACCCACGACTAATTGTATTTATACTTGGTTTTCATATCACACTTATATACATAAAAATATACATTGTTCAACTTTAAGCTTAGTTATATCCGCAACATTTTTAATTATTAAATTCCACGGAAATGATTTGACGAGAAAAACGTAATAGAATTAAATACTGTCTATAGTTTACGCGAGTAGTACACATTTAAATAAAACACTTTAGCGGTTTAAGACGCGATATATTAGTTAAACTTATTTGAAAATGATTTTTAATTCGGCCCACGTTTCGGATCTTTGCAGCAGCTGCTAACTAATATATCGCGCTTTATTGAAGTGTTTTATTTAAAAGACATAGAATGTGCGGTCTCTAAATGTCTTGTATGATGGGTAATTATTTGTAATACTTATAAATATATAAAGCCGTATGGAATATCAAACATTAAGAATAAAAAAATCAATTTTAATTGGAAAAAATATAGAGCTAACATGTGCATGTGAAAATTCATAATGTTACAAAAATTATAATAAGAAATTTCATACGCAACCGATTGCTTAATCAAACAGAACCGAAGATTAAGCCGTCACGTGAAA